CTTTTAAGACAAAAAAAGTGATGTATGTGACTGTCATCTTTATTTAAAAGGGATGTATATTTGTCAAGATCAAATTAAAACCATCTGATGTAAACAACTCGAGTCCAGAGCTTGGAAACACCACATTTGTGGAGAGTCTCAGAATCTTTCCAGGCAGATACGTTGGCAGAAGAGAGGGCAGTTTCTGGGAGGCATAGTCCCACAAAGTAACATTTCCAAGTTGTGCTCTGCTCTAAGCATAAGTCTGGATTCACAAATCACACAGCACGCAGCAATGAATGCACAGAGAAGTGCTACTGCATTAATTAGATTTTTTTACAATAAAGGGGGCAACATGTTTCATCAGTAATCCAAGTGTTTAAGGCTAAAGTAATCACACAAATGCTCTATGGTTCCCAATTATTTGCATATTCCGATCTGTGACCCCTTGACTTTGTCTAGTCCAAATTTCTGAGAGCTCTACTGGCAGTGCCTCCTTGTGTCCCTGACACAGCTCTACACCTAGAGGCAGGTCTAGTCTCCGTCAGAGTATGTGACAAGGTCTATATGTTCAATCATTGGCTGAAGTTTATCTTCTCATAAGGTTTGGCATCACTGACTCTCTCCAACACCTTCCAATTGGAATGGAAGTGTCACCTGGCAAATGAAACTCTGCTAATTGGTCTTTGCCCAAAAACCCTTATAGTGATGGGTTATGCCGAGGCCAAATCAGTTGTCAAGCAAAGGATCTGGGTCACAGAACTTCAAGAACATTTAGGTTTGCTCGACAAATCCAGTGTTGTAAAAAACAACACCTTTATACTTCCCACCTATATGACCAGTATGATACCACCTAAATCTAGAAGAGCTTTTACCTTAGCCAGATTTCACATGTTGCCCTCTTAATCTCCTGGAAGGGAGATTTCAAGGCATACCCTATTCTGATCGTTTATGTTCTTGTGATGGTGGTGAAGTAGAAACAGTGGGGCATGTTCTCTTATACTGTAATTTCTATCGAGATCTCAGCAACGATCTTCTCTCCCCTATTTTTCAAAAATTTCCTAGGAGATTTGACAAATGTTATGTTATTTTGCTGCTCTCTGATAAGGTTTCTTACATTACTACGGTAGTAAAGTGACTAAATACTGTGCTGCCACAATAGATTGCCGCACTCCTGGCCACATATGGTCTTTGAGTGCCCCCCCCCTTTAGAGATGTTTTGTTTGTGATGATTTAAAAGTTTTTATATCCTTCAATGCTGCTGGCTAACATAGCATATTGATGGTTCTGTGTCTCCTAGTCTCATCCTACATCATGTGACTGCTGTGATGATTTAAAAGTTTTTATATTCTTCAATGCTGCTGCCTAACTCAGAACATCTTTTTAAGTTTAATGTTGTAAAAGAGCCAGAAGGTGCATTGATGGTGCCATGCCTTGACCAATGTCTCTGATATTATGTGATTTTATCTAAATGATGATGATGATGATGATGATGATAATCATAATCATAATCATAATCATAATCATAATCATAATCATAATCATAATAAATCATGAATTGTTCCTCGCATTTGGTTTTTAGTAATTGTACACTTTTGACTATTAGGTTCAAATACTGTTTTTTAATTATGTAAACTGCCATGTGTCCTTTTTAAGGAGAAAAGCAGATTAAAAATCAAATAAATAAATGTTCTCTTCTTCTAGGAGCACCCTGGAACTGCCCAGCTTGTCCAAGGCTACATACTCTTTTCCCAACAAGAGCATGTGGAAATCAAACTCCTAACCACAAAGGCATTGCTTTCTGGTGGGTTTGCAATTTTGCTTTACTTGTATGGAACAACCATACATCATCTTTTTTTTAAAGAGACCTGACATACTGTACACTAAGTGAAAGTGCCTATTTGTTTGGAAGTAACATGTTTCTATCCACTATTTCAGAATGTGATTATTTTTTCCTGGTGTATATAGGATTGTTTCTATTAGGCTGATTTAGGTATACCTAGGCTGCTTTGGAATGTCGTTGTTTGGTTCCTCTGTCTTGATGGACAGACTGTTGGATGACTTCACGCATTAACCAATCCAGCTCCTGAGGACTGGAATCAGACTCACCCATCATTAATCTCTTTTTCAATTTTGTAAATGTGCTTGAAGGGCTGTGCTGCATATACACAGACATCTTGAAACTGTTCCTTTCTTTCTTCCTGAAAAAGACAGATCAGGGAGAAAGGTGTATGATCTTACATTGGGGGTCTCAGCCTGTAAGTTAATTAAAATGTTCTTCGATTGCCATGGAATGTGAAAAACATTTAGGAATCAGGGCAGCAGATGATTTTCATTGGACTGTATTGCTTCAGTATAAATTTAGATGATTTATTTTCTCTGTAGTGGCTGAGCAGAAAAGCAGCAGAAAATAGTACACTTGGAGATGTCATTGACAGGTTATAAGAAGTGCTTATCAGTGCTAGAGTAGCAGTAGCAACCAGTGACAGCTGCAAAATGCAAAGGATCAGGTGACATATAATAATTTGCCTTGTTCTTCCTAACCGTAACATATTACAATGCATTATTTTCTTCACATGTTTCTGAAAAGTATGTTTACATTCACATTTGTTTCCGACAAATGTCTTTTGCATGTGCATGTCCATGTGTGGGTGATTCCGTGGGAAAGGAAGCAAGGAAGCAGTGTTTATCCGACATTAGTCAGTCATGCAAAACCAAAAGGGATTTTCTGGCATCTTAAAACATTACAAGTTTTATTTGGTATAAACTTTTGTGAACAGGAGTTCATGGCTTCTGATGAAATGGTGTGCAGTCCATGGAAACTCATGCCAAACAATATGTATTAGTCCATAGCATACCGTTAGACTCTGTGGGTATCTAGTTATATGAGTTTGTGTATACAGTGTTAGATGGGAAAACATCAGGTCCAAGCAATTACAGTATATATTTGCATTCCTTGATCAGAGGTGTTCAAAGTAAAGAATGTTTGTGCCTTCTGTTTCCAGACTCAGAAATGGCTCATCTGAACACTGACATGTAATCACATATTCAAAGTCTTATAATAAAATTAATTCCTTTCATGGATTAATTAACTATGAGGATGCATGACCAAGTACTGAAAACACAGTAGATGCAAATGGGGTTTCTAGTGATTTATTTGTAGTTCTGTTTCCTGAATGTCAATTCAAAAATTTTTGATGATGAAAAAAATGCTGGTTCTTTTGAAGCTGGTGTACTGTATAGTTTAGTAAGCTCTTACATCGTTCCAAATCCTGCGCCACTGTTTCCATTGTTAACCTGTCTGGTCAATATCCTCTGACTGTCACACACAATAATAACTTTAAAAATACATTTTGCTCAGCAGTTGAATTCTGGAAAGTTTCGTGCCCACAGCATCAGTCATTTGATCTATATATTCAATTTATTGCATGTTTGAGTAGCATTTGTGTGTGAAACCTGGTTAAGAGGGTAAAAACCTTAAATAATGGTAAACAGTAGGAAATAGCTATTGCATTTACCATTTCAGAAAGCACCCCACTGTAAGAGACTCTGAACTCATTCTGTCTTTGAACTTTACAGCTCAAAGACCAGAAGCAAGGTTATGCTGTTGAGACGTTGAGACGTTGTCCTCCAAGTATATGATAATAGAGATGGCTGATCATCTCTTTAGTGTCCAGGATTGTTCTCCAGAACGGCCTACAAATAAATCATAACAGTGCTACATTTCATCCCATGGTTGTTGGAAACTGTTAGCAGTCTCAATTGGACAGCAACAGGCACTATTTCTTGATTGCTTCTGATTAATCTAAACATGAGGGGGGGGTGATAGGATCAGAGGCAAACATTCAGTGGTTTTCTCTCCTCCTTCTCATCAGACACACTGGTAGAAAGGAAAACTTGTGAATCAGAAGGAGCAGAAGCCCTTTTCCTTTACTCCAGAAAAGAAATCCTTTAGTTATGACCACTGCATCCATTAGGAAATTGCAGTTATGAGACTGCATATACAGTAGTGAATACCTCTGACTAACTTACAGAAATGTAAACTGTTTCAGTTTGCATTGGTCCCCCTGCCATCCAAATATAAACCCAGAATGCCTATGCAGTCTACATGATTGAATTTCTATGGTGAACATTTTTAGGTTGTGAGAAGCAAGATATTCTTTTAATGGGAACATATCTTAAACTCTTCCAGGTGTCCACGATACTGCTCAGCAAGAGCTAAAAGATGCCAGCATCTCAGTGGAGACAGAAAATCCCAGTTTCTGGCTGGGGAAAAACTCTGACATCTTCAAAGAGGTGAAGCTGCATAAGTCTTAAGTCTGGGGTACCCTATGGCAGCTTCAACTGCTCAGAAGGCAGAACGAGTCCACCTGGTGGGAAGGAGTTTGAACTGAATGGTGACTTTCATGTGCAGGTGTGCAACTTATGACTCTCCAGAGGTTGTTGCCCTGAACAGCCATAATCTTCCAGGAACAGCTATGCCAATATGGATGAGGAAGATATAGTCCAACAATATCTGGACGGCTACCAGTGCTTCAATCCCATTGCTTTAATGCAAGGGGGGGAGCCCTTTTTCGGCAATCCACCCAGTCTTAAGCACTTCCTAGCTCTCCAGAAGCATATAGAGACCTGCTTCGTTTGGGCTTGAAAGGGCAACCCGTGGGCCCACCGAAAACAAAAACTTTAGCCGAAGAGAAACCATGGGAGAGATTAAAAAGGAGGGAAGGGGCGAGCTTCCCGGGAGGGGGGACGGGTGTCAGGTGAGCCCTCCGCCGAGCGCACCTGCTCCCTTCCCTCCTGAGGCGCTGCCCCGCTGCAGCAGCTGCCGGCTCCTCAGAGGCGACAGCTGCCAAGGGTCCAGCCCACCCAGGGCTCTTTCGTGCCCTCCCTTGCTGGTGGGTCAACCGCCGCTTCTCGAGGCCACCCAAGCAGCCAGGGCCTGCCCTGCTTGCTGCTCATGCGCCTCGGCAGGGTTTAAAGCCAGGGCGCGCGGTCCCCTTCGGCTCGCAGCGCTGGTCCAGCCAGACCACCACCTCGCGGGGGCGGCGGCAAGTGGGCGCTTCTCTTCTCTCCTCCATCGCCCGCTCCGACTGCCTTCTTCCCGCGCTCGTCTCTTTCATTCGCCGCGGCGGAGACGGCCGGAGGAAGCGCGCTTTTTGCCGGGCGCTTCCTATAATTAGAAAAAGGGGGGACAGCTTTTTACCTCACGTTCTTCTGGGCAAGTTGGACACCCACCCCACCGACCCCTCAGCTCTCCAGTGGTGAGGAGTTCGCCCTGCCAATCAGGAGCCGGAGGGAATTCCACCTTTCCCTCAGAGACGAAACTCTCTCTTTTTTTCCCCCTCCCCCCGTCCCCAGTTTCTTCCAGTTTGGGGAAGGGGAGAAACCAGCTCCCCTGGTTAACCCTGTCTTGGCTGGTTGGCTGCTTGTTGACGGTGCCTCTTTTCCTCTCCCAGGTGCGGCCATGACGCCTGTCCTACTCTTCCCAGGTGGGTGTCCTGTAACTGAGGCGCGCCTCCTGTGCGTGTTTGTGGGGTGTGTGTGTGGGGGGGGAGGAATCCCTCGGACAAAATCGTTCGTGAGGGTTAAACGGTCGGAGGGGAGGGGGCGCCAGGAGCAGCCATCTGCCTTGTATGGGCGCTTATGACCCCTCTCCTCATCTTTGGTTACAGGTATCCTCTTTCTTATCGCCAGTCCTGGGAAGGCCATCGACAGCTCGGGTGAGTTGAGGAAATCTCTTTATAATAACAATAACTTTAGAACTGCAGAGCTGAAGGGACCCTATGGATCACTGACCAGCTGCTTCTCTTTTGGTGATGTCTCCCTTCCCTTCAATAAGAACTTTGTCGAGGCTTTGAATAGGGAGGTGAGAGAATTTATGCAGCTTCAGAGATTTTTATTTCCACCAGAAAAAGTACTGCCGTTTTACTGTTTTCCCGTTTCCAATGAATAATCTTTGATCCACTATAAATTATTCTGCACGACTTCTGGAAGACAGATGTGCCTTAAGAAGGTTTAGTATTTAGTCAGTCATTTTCATATCAGGTGTGCCTCTTGCTTGCTTAGCTTAGATCTTGTTTGTTAGTTTATCCTGATTTTTTTAATGTGTGGGTTTGGCAAAGATAGTTTAACAATATCTTTATCTGTTGTAATAAAGCAATGAATACCAGATTCCTCCCACATTCCACCCACCTGGGAGCAAAAACATCTTCTAAAAACTTCCCTGAGTTTCAAAACTCAAAAAATACAAAAGTTGCAAACCTGTTTAGTGGGCAAATGTGGTAAAATAATTAGGGGAGGTTAGGTTCAATTCTGGTGTTGTAAGAAATTAACATGTAGTATTATCACATTGTTTCAACATCTTTTCCAGTTTACTAGTGCTATAGCAGTTTTGTTACTGTTTCAACAATATGCATTCAACATATTTGTTATAAAAATTTCAGTTTCTTGTTGAGCCATTGGTCTTGTTGTTGTTGTATACTATGCTGCTCCTTTGCTTCTTCTGTGCAGAACTAATAACATGATTTTCTTTAATGTATTGAGGTTCAGGTATTGAATTTCACAATGAAAAGAAACTTTGCCTGTGTCTCTAATGACTAATACAATTGCACGTTTGGTTCCATAGACTGTATGGCAGCACTGTACTCTGAATTTATTTGAGTTAAGATGGCAATATGATTTGTGCCTATCAATGGGGTTTAGATTTGCCTTAAAGGTATGAGAAAATAAGAAAAGGTAAATAATCTTGTGATTATAGATGAGAAAAGTAAATAATCTTGTTTTCTCTGCTTTTGTTCCCAATGTGCTGTAAAAATATATTCTATAATTTGGGATGCTAATTGACAACTAAATGCCACCCAAATTATATTGGCCATATAAATGGAGAAGTTATGGGAAGGAGGGTTAGAGAAATGGCAGATGAATTAGGTCCTAGTGAGGGTCCTGCTACTGTGCCCCAGTAATGGGGTGGGCAAGATTCTTATAAAAAGTAAATAAATACACTTTTCAGTGCTTCAATCTGAATAATAGCTATAATGCCTATACATTATTATACAGTATATATGTACACATTACACATTATAACAATAGCTTACAAAGTGAGATAGTGAGAAACAAATAGGCATAAATCAATAGACTTGAGTTTTAACAATGTCTGAGTACTTTACAGCTGTAAGGAAATGCATAACAGATATTTATTTACTATTCTGAACTGAATGCAAAGATTATTGGGGGGAAAGCCAAAGCAAGTTACAAAGGCATGCTATTGACTTGAATTATACAAGAAGAGTTTTCTTCTATAAGAAGAAAAGAAATACCCAGTAAGCTATAGTCATTACCTAAAGAGAACTATTTAGTCAAAAGATAAAAATAACTGACCCACTGAAAGAAAACAAACTATTGGAACATGATTCTAGTGAAGAATTCATCAGTATCATTCAGTGGAGGCAGACTGAAGATGGGAAGAGTCACACAATTTCTAAACTCCATCAGCAATAGAAAGAAAACATGAAACTCTTTTCAAAATAGTGAGTGAGGTCTTTTTCTGTGGGTTTTGCAGGGAGTTTTGTATATAAAACACAAAGATTTGAGCTTTGAAAACTGAAAATGCTTAAGATTTAGGATTCATTTTAAAAACCTACAGAAAGTGTCAAATACACAAAGACCCTGAACTTTGTCAAAAAGATTCTTTATACATATTGTGACTGGGTGGTGGGCAGCAGTGAAAACTAGAGTCTACTTTCTTTTTCTTCTTGAACAAGTGCATTGAAGTCAACTAAATAAATAGTGATGCTGAAAGAGTTTGGGGATGGGAAGATCAAAGTTAAGATTTATTCCTGTAAGAATAAAATAATTTTGTGCAGTGTTAATAAAATACAGCAGAAAATTACACTTCAAGGGTACTGGATCTACTATTTTGTACCATTATTTCCTTAAGTATTTAAATCAAAAGATGCCCACTTCTGTTCTGTGTTATAAATTCTTGCTGTATTCTAGAGATTGTGGCCGTTTTCAGTGCTTCAGTCCTATCATCTTTTGCCTGGGTATATCCTCTACTAAACTCAGCGGGATTTACTTTACTTGTATGGCTAATCTTACAAGTGTTGTTTGCAGTTTGTTTCAGGGTAACTGAAAAGTTCTAGGTACTTTCAAATTAGTCCCGTCAATAAAATTTTTACAAGTTTTAAATACAATGCTGAATTTAAGCAGCAAAGTACAGTTTTCTAGGAAACTAAGTAAGTAATATCCTCATAGATAACAGGGACAAAGTATGAACCAGTTTTACATTGCAATAAATAGTTTGTGCACCAGTGTTCATGAACTTAGCTCTTTAAATAAATATAGCAATAAAATGTTATTGATCCATCAGGACAGCCTATCCTTTGAGTTACAGAAAAGAGAAAAGGTCCTGGAACAAATTGATACAGTAGCTGGAGAACTTGGCAGTGGATGAAAGAGTAGATTTGTTTGTTTTGTTTTGAGTATCCAAGAAAGCCATAGCACTAATATAACACATTTAAAAAATACAGGGCTGAATCCAGCTAGCATCTAGCAACTGGTGCAGTGGGATTTTTATCCTCTACTCTTCCACCTGTAGCCCTCTGCATGGCCTAAACCAACACCTCTGGAGAATTGACCAGCGTTCCAAAGTAGGCACTGAGGGATGGGGAGGGAAATGAAAGTTAGCCTTTTTATCTCACAGGCAGAAGCTGTTCCCTTGGCAAAAGAAACCCATAGGACCGTGACCTTAATTTCCAGCTCTCTTTAGTTACGCAGCAATAGGATTTCTTCATGCTGCTTAGTATTCATCTTTCCATGTCTTGCTGCTTAACAGCTGTTTGATGTTGTCACAGTGACAATGCTAGGCATCTGTCAATCAGAACAGATTGAACTGTGGAGCCCTAAGAGTTGAGTGCAAATATGTAGCCTCAGAAAGCATGCACTGGACTGGGTCAAAGAGATGACTTACAAATTTTGCACAAGAAAACTGCCATGCAGTTTACAGATGTTCTTTTCTTTTATAAGTTTAGTGCTAAAATGGAACTAAAATAGAAATAAATTGTGCTGATATAAATACATTATCCTAAAGTGGTGTTTTTCAGTACTGTATTCAAGAATCTTGTTTTGCATCCCTTATTTCATTCTAGAATTTGAAGGGTGCAAGAATAAAAGATTTACAATCTTAGTAATTTATAATAAATTAACCAATTATTCAACAAAGTAATGGTATTTAATTAACAACTATCAATTTATTACAACAAAACTAGATTTTGTAAGCTTTCTAAAGCACAAAAAGGACATATGTGCCTGCATATTTAAAGTGAGAGGAGTACTGAATGGCTTGCATTGTTTTTAGTAAAATCATTCCTAAAATCTGGCTTTTTCTAGTTTATCTTTCAAACTTAATGCTGATTTCTCTCTTCACCCAAGAAATTATTGTGAAACTTTGAAAACTTAGTTAAGATTGTGAATTATTTTATTAGAAAGTTCCTTCGTTTAACCAAAGCATCTGTTTGAACAAAGTGGAGAAGTGTAACTCCCCCCTTTCAAAAAAATACAAATCACTGAAGTGTATAGAATAATATTATGCTATGAATATACTGTTAACCTTGACAAAGCCTTATATATTTAGAACAGGGGTCTCAAACTCAATTTACCTGGGGGCTGCTGGAGACAGAGTCTGGGTGAGGCTGGGCCGCATCAGATTTTCCGCCAAGCGGAGCAAGAGCCCGAGGAAGCCGCCCAGGAGGTTCCTTAGCCTGGCTGGGGCTTCAGGGAGGAGGAGGAGGAGGAGGGGTGCACGAGCCCTCCTTGCCGGCCATGACCCCCTCTGGCTCCTTCACTACCACCACTAGCAGGATGAAGAAGCGGAGAAGGGAGGGAGCACCAGTGACCACCTAGCGGGGGTCGAAGGGCATGAAATATTTTTTTAAACCCTCACAGAATCACCTAGCAAAGGAGAAAAGCCCCCACTGGTATCTGCGAAATTAAACAGAATGGGGCGGGGCCCACACAGGTGCGCACGCATGCACGCACACATGCACACACACACACACACGGAGGTCCAGCAACCTTCCTCTGAGGGCCCCCCTCAAAAAAAGGCGCACTCAGCAGCAGCAGCTACCACCACCATGACAGGGGAGCAAACTTTGCAAGGTGAGCCCAGGCAGCCTCCAGAGCTGGGGTGGCTGAAGCAGGATGAAGAAAAGGAGGATTAGGAAGAGGAGGAGGAAGAGGAAGCACCGCCAGGCACTGAGGCAGCCGCTGGCTGGGCTAGTGCTGGGGGTGCTGAGAGAGAAAGAGAGCCAGAGAGCCGCTTCCCTGAAAGAAGCGGTGGCAGCTACTGTTAGCAGTGCTGTTGGAGGTGCTCTTCGAGGACGGGCTGGGAGTGAGCTCTGCTCTCAGGCATCGCTCGGCGGTGGCTCGGGGAAAAGGGCTGGCAGCGCACCTCACTCAACGGCTCTCCCCCAAGACAGCACCTCTTGCATCCTCCATCCAGAACTGGAGCCTGCCAGCTGACATACAGGAGGGCTGGCTGGCAGGCTGCAATTCTGGATGGAGGGTGCAAGGGGTGCTGTCTTGGGAGAGACCCGGCGAGTGAGGCAAGGCTTTTTTTGACTCTTGACAGCAGAGGATGCTTGGGCGCTTCGGGGGGCAGGCAAGGCGGGGGCCACAAACCATCATCCGGCAGGCCGCAAATGGCCCCTGGGCCGCATGTTTGAGACCCCTGATATAGAAGAAGCAGTTTTATTTTGCTTTGTTTCTTTTGATTTTGCCTGATGTCCTTGTATACTTGTAGTTAATAAATTTAAAGCAGACAAAGTATTGCTAACTCTCAGGAGAATGAAGAGGAAATATGTGTAAGAATTTAGATCTCACAAGGTATGCAAATATATGTAAGAGATGTGCAATATTTGGATGCCATAACTATATCAAGAGCTATGAATTCAAAAGTTACTTTTAAATGCATTTTAAGGCATTTTTAAAGCAATTTGATATGACTTTCCAGCTTTTTTGCCTTTCTTTTCTGAGTCCCAAGGGACAATAATCCTAAAATATTATTTGGTTAAGTTTTTGTATTTTTATAAGTATTTCCAGGATGCAATATCAGAGAATTGACCACTAGACAGAGCCAGAGGGTATTTTCTTGTGTTTTCAATGGCCTGATGGTAACAGTAATATTAACAACATGCAACAGAATGAATATCACAACAATAATGGCAACCTGTGTGCCAAGAAGTAATGAATAATGCGAAGAGTTCCTTTTAAAATGTAGCATTCTGATCTCTGCAGAAGTATCAACACGGATATTCTGCACACATAGGAATAAATGTAACTTGCACTTTTAAAATGTAACTTGCGCCTTTAATAACTTAATAACTTTTACCTCATGTAGTTTGTTTCACTGGTGCACAAGAGACCAACACATTTCAAAGCTTGTAAAGCTGATGTACATTCCAGGGAGTCAGTGGAAATTAACTGACCCACTGCATCTTGAATAGGCTGCAAACACATGAGAGACTTTAAAAAGAATGGAGAGGTTATCCAGCCAAGGGCCTGTCACATAACTTTGGGAATCTTGGCAGCAAGCATTGCCAAAGACTCATGAGTTTTTGAAGATTAACCAAATACAAGATTTCCCTAATACCCTGCTATGAGGTTAAAATTACAAATTAGCATCAAGGGGAACACCCGTGTTTCTCCTTGCAAGGACAAGCTAGTTTCAAAGTCTATGTGAAGAGCAATATTGGGTACTCTAAATATTTTGTATCAGGAACACTAACCAACAATTACTAGAGGAAGGTAAGTGTTCATAAATATTTTCTATTTAACATTACCAAAGAGGCAAACTAATGTTCTAATGTTTTTTTAATTAAAAGGAGAGATAGACAAGTGACAGACTATACCCCAGTGACATGACAAATTACAGTGCATTTAAAAGGACACCAGTTTACTGTCAATTTTCTTCTGTGCATGATGCCAATGCGACTAATAGTCCACCAGGGATATATTGCAACTAAATTTAAATTATGGAACATTAATACTTGCACATAATGTGAGACTGTACTGCAGATAGTATTCTGATTTATCTATGAAGCATATGTTTAATTGTCATTTAGGAATATAGGAACAATGGAGGCTGTCTTAAAATGTGTCAGACTCAATAGGTTTGTATATCTTGGATCATTTGTTTAAATTTTTATACAGTGGTGCCTCACTTGACGAGGATAATCCATTCCAGCGAAATCGCTGTAGAGCGAAATCATCATCAAGCGAGGGGGAAAAAAAACATTGAAACACATTGAAAACCGGTTCAGTGCCTTCCAATGGGCGAAATACCTCAGCGTCCAGCGAAGATCCTCCATAGGGCGGCAACATTCCGATCCCTGTTAAGTGAAAAATCCATCCTAAAAACAGCGGGGAGCCATTTTGCACAGCGGGTGGCCATTTTGAAACCCAACGATCAGCTGTTTTTTGATAGTCGTAATGGGAAGAATCAGTTCCCGAAGCAGGGAACCGATCATCGTCAAACGAAAATTGCCCTTTGAAACATCGTTTTGCGATCGCAATAGCGATTGCAAAAACATCGTTGTGAAGCGATTTTGTCATTTAGCGAGGTAATCATAAAGCGGGGCACCACTGTACAGCCAAATAGTGTCAACTGACTTGCAGCACCTCCCCAGGGAGGATTTTTTTTAGTATATTCGCGAAGGCTTTTACAGCCGGGATCTAACAGTTGTTGTGGGTTTTTCGGGTTCTTTGGCCTTGTTCTGAGGGGTGTTTTTCCTAACGTTTCGCCAGTCTCTGTGGCCGGCATCTTCAGAAGACAGAGTGCTGTCCTCTGAAGATGCTGGCCACAGAGATTGGCGAAACGTTAGGAAAAACAACTTTAGAACACGGCCAAAGAGCCCAAAAAACCCACAACAATGATATTTTTTTTTTAGCCTTCCCTCTGGTCACCTCCCATCTAGGCTCTAACCAGAAATAATATTACTAAGGTTCCAAAGTGAGCTTAGATTTATGTGTTCAAAGTGGCATTGTATAATCTTTTTCACCCTCTGCAGCCCCCACTCCCATTAGCTGTTTTACAAGAGGACTCGATCTTAGGAATGAGAGAGCAGATGTCCTCTGTCCAGCAGGATGCCCCTCATTTCAGTTCTCTGTCTATGGAAATGTTGTCTATGCCTCCATCTCCAGCATCTGTGGAGCAGCTGTTCACAGGTAAGCTTATTTATCAGTAATGCAGGGGAAATGCTGATGTTAATTACTGGCTTAGTCTACATAGTTCTATTCCAATACATGATCTGAAAGCACATGGTGCAGCAAACTTACTAAATGAAAATAGACTTTGGAAGAGCTGGTGCTACAATTCCCAGAACCTACCAGACAGAAAGGTGGCTGGCCATGCTGTCTGGAAGATCTCTGTAGCCTAAAGAAAGTTTTGGTTTTTGAACTGGTCAGTGTTTGCTGGGAGAGTGTTTTGGAAGCCTATGCACACCATTTTAGCTTCCACCATCAAAGGGAAATTGGACAGAAATACAATAAATTAATATTTCTACTCTCCAAGTTCCATATTACTGTATTATCTTTTTTGTCCTACTAGTTTAAAAAGTGTGTCCATTTGGGGTCGCCACCTGTGACAGCCTCGTCTCACGTCACAAAGGAGCTGCCACGTCACTCTCACACCCTCACTTTATTCACGCTGCCTCCAACCATTCCCTCATAAAACTCTTCAGACAAAAGTATGATTTTTAAAATAAAAACTTATGTTTATTGATAATAACAAAAGGAATGGTAAATCACTATAATAATTAAAATAAAAGGCAATCAGTATAATAAAGTACCCACACACATTCTCCCTCTCAGACCTTCACTCTCTCTATATAGCACAGTACTACTCAACATGTACAAGCCCTAACTCCCTAAGTCCCTAACCAGACCCTATCAAGTCCCTATCTGACTCACACCTCATTCACTCCCCCTTAAATACCCTAGCTCCACCCTCTTATGTCCCACCTCCCGTCACGCTATTGGCAGGTGACAGACAACCATAGCAATGACGGACAGATGACATCACCGTTACTGTAACACCACCCTTTTTACCCACTACAGTGTTTAAAAAGCCAGGGTTGAAGAAGAATGGAAAATAGTAGAAACAGAAAATGACCTGACCTGAAAGACTTTATGTCCCGATCTAGTTGTGATGGGGGGAGGGTGAAACAGCAGATAGTCAAAAGTGGCTCTCTCTGTTGACTTACTGTACTGCTGGTGTTGAAATGCAGCAAGAAGTAGCTAGTTTTCTAGTTAAGAACAAAGAAATAAGAATTTCTTTCCCTCATTCCTGCAATAGTAAGATCCAGCTGCGATTTTTCTCTGTGACTATCTCTGTTTGAATCTCACAGCTCTTTGTTATATGGTGAGCAAACATCCATTAGACAGACTCAATAGTAACAAGCCCGGAGATAGATTTAGAGGTTGTGCAAAGTAGAAAAAAGTCAATAGGTCAAATTGAATATTACTACCTAGTGATTCCCAGTGTGGTGTAGTGGGTAGAGTGATGGACAAGGACCCTGAAAAACAGAGTTTGAATCTCTGCTCAGCCATGGAAACTCACTTGGGGAGTGGAACTGGTAAAACCACTCCTTAAATATCTCACTTACCTTGAAAGCCCTATTAGGGTCACTAGAAGTCAGTTCTGACTTGACAGCATATAAAACCTAAAAGTCCCAGATCCTGGCACTTCTCCACAAGACCAGTGCTCAATGGCTAGAATAGGTAACCAGCCTAAATTACATGAATGCTTTAAAAAAACTATGGTGGCTACGTTAAATTATCTTCAGGCCATGTCAAAATGATGCCTCATTGACCTCTTCCAGCAGGATTTGGTGTATTTACATCACACAGGTATAGCATTTTGATACCACTTTAATCACCATGGCTCCATCCTATGAAATCCTGAGTTTGTGATTTGATTATGTACTTAGAACTCTCTTCTAGAGTGTCCGAGTGCTCTTGTTCATGGCAGTTTTCCAACAGACAAGTCTAAAGACTTTGCCAAACTACCAGGAAGCTTGCAGTTGAAGTGGTATCAAATTGTCATAACTGTCTAGTGCTGATACACTCACTGAAGTGTCTCAGAGATGGTGCCTGCCACATACTTTAAGTACAATACTCCTAAATCAGATTCTCTAGTGCTGCATTCTTGAATAGACAACTGGAGTTCTGATGGACTTGTAATGACAAATATAGCCCATGTGCTTAGGAGAGAGAGAAAATGCATTGTGTGAACTGTGGGGATTTTTTTTTTACCTCAGTGAAAGTTCCATTGTATTCTGTGACATAATACTTAAGTCCAAAAGAGTGCCAGAAAAAAGCAAGGTGAAATAAAAGTAAATTAAAACTGGATAAAACAAAATATACACTTCTTGTGATGTTCAGTTTCTCCTATATAAAACTAACCCACAGAGAAACAGAGTGTGTCACTTGCTGCAGTATGACAAAAAGCATGGAATATGTCTGTTTGGCCCAGTATATTACATTGGCTGGGACAAAAATGGGTCTCCCATTCCAAAAAACTAATAGATTTGTTGAGATAATGTGGGTTTTTTTCCCACTTTGCCCTGGTTGCCCCAACCCAACCCACTTTTATATGAATATATATAAAAAAGAAACAAAGGCTCAATATAAGAAACATCACTGGGACTACTCTACACTAAGCAACAGGCTTTCAGTCATTGTTTACATAGAGATTACAGTGTCATACAATAGCCTATGGAAGCGCTAAAATGTCCACTACTGTTCATTGTCAATTGTAGTGCAGTTCATGAGGTGTGTCATGAATGCACATCACTCTTAATCTTTTCCTAAGACCCATATTATAGTGGCAGAAGATTTCTGGGACATTTGATGCAAGTAACATGCATAGTACAGAGAGTTCTGTGTAGATCCCCATTGAGAAATACTGAAAGCAGTAAAACAAAATAATAACTCTACATGGAAACGCTAAATAGCTTTCCATGAAAAGATATTGAAGAATTAACTGAATCATCACTTAAAAGGGATGTTTTCCATCTCTGGTTTCAGAAACTAAGCATGTTCACACTCACTCTTTCCTAAATGATATAAAATAGAAGATATTATCCAAGTAACCATACAGATAATATCTCTTTGCTACACAGATGTTGTGTATTGAGTGTATTATTCTGGTTTGGAAAGAAGCTGGGTTTGTATAACATTGGTTGGCCAGTTAAATCATGAATCAATTTCTTGGAATAGGATTGTGCATAGGAATGCTTGGCTAGTTCGTGGTCTATGATGAAGCCATCTCTCTCTTGAGCCCTGATCAGTTTCCAATGTAGAAAGAAATGAGAGTTTTAGAAGGACTGAAGAAGAGATTCAATATTGTAGAAATAGATATTTTTCCTTCAGCACCCCGTTCCCTTAACATTTCTTCTAGTATTCTAGTAGATCACCAATCCTCTGGGGCAGATTTGGCATACACATAGTGGAGTACAGATGGGAATTATCCTTCCTTTTCTGCTGATAGAAGTAATTGCATCCACAATTGTGTAGCAATCTTAGCAAATCTTTAAGCAAATACAGTGGTTAATATGTTGATGATCATGGATCGGGGGATGCTCTGAATCAGATTGGCCAAAGCACTGGGGAGCAACAATGAATAGTTTTTAGTGATGCGCCAGGTACATACTCAAAGGTACTACTCAGTAACAGGAAAAATCCTTGTTCCATCTTCTTTTTGACTCATACAGTTATATGCGGTTGCCCTTGTCATGGTGGTTTCGGGAAGGGGTTGGGACAGATAACCCACCAAAATTATGACGACTGGCAGGTTTGATCATTAGCAGTTTATGTCTCCTTGGCCAGCAGTGTTTCAGCCCATTTAGGATCCTCAGCAGACACTACTTCAGATTTCACTGAAAAAGACGTGATTGTTTTCCTTCTATTTCTCTGGTGGGAAACTGTGCTACTCGTACCTACCATGTTGACTTCACATGATCTCTGTCTTCCAGCCTTCTAGATGGCAGTATTCCTGGTCCTACATATTTTAAAAGACTACCTGCCCACCATTATATTATTCATGCAGAAAAAGCAACTAAATAATACTATTTTGGGTACTTGATTCTGTCCTTATGTGGCCTGCAAGAAAACTTAAGAAGCCAGTCAGACAACTCCTTCTTTACACAATAGGAATAAATCATTTCTAATGCTGCACTGCATAGCCATAAATTCCAGATATTTGAAACTTTCCAAAAAGACTGAAACACTCACATCATTCTACATTCTTTCCTAGGAATGTATGATACAGGACATATTTTCAAGAGAAGAATGGTGGTTTTGTTGGCCCTTTAGGGCAACTGAGTTCAATTTTTTCATTCCTTTTTAAGGGCACAGAAATTCTTCATTTAATTTTTCTTATGGAATGACTCACTGAACTATACTTGATCAAGTTCTCACCTCAGATCAAGTTCTCACCTCAGAATGTTCTCACATTGTCCAAGGAAGACAGAAAAATGGAACAGGTTGTATCTCAGTGCCACAATCCATACAGGAAATCCCAGATTCTGTTCTTACCATTTCTAATTGAAAGGATCTTAAATGACTGGGCTAAGAAATTAACTCTGTCTTGGGCATTGAAGATCTATCACCAGGCAGACTAGACAATAGCAGTCTAGACAGACTAATATTTTTAGCAGTTTCAGTGAATGTCCTTAACAGATAAAGGACCATTCAGATGCTGAACTTCAACTTTCCTGTGTTGTTGTATATTATTATTTCATCTAGGGATAAAAGATAGATTCCATGTTGTACTTGCCTTTTTGTGAGTGCAGCTAATAACATCTCCAGGGGGGAGGTAAAGGGTTACCTTTGGGAAACAGCTGAGGAGATGGGATAAACATCTATTTTTAGTGCCATAAACCCAATAGAAGGGAGAATAGGTAAAGGTTCCCCTTGACATTTAGTCCAGTCATGTCCGACTCTAGGGCACGGTGCTCATCCCCATTTCCAAGTCATAGAGCTAGCGTTTGTCCGAAGACAGTTTCTGTGGTCACGTGGCTAGTGCGTGTGGTTGTGGAATGCCGTTTCCTTCCCACCGTGGTGGTACCTATTTATCTACTCGCATTTTACATGCTTTCAAACTGCTAGGTTGGCAGGAGCTGGGACAAGTGACGGGAGCTCACTCCATCGCGTGGATTCAATCT